CATCCCCAAAGGCATGTTACTCATACGTTCATAACTCATCTGATGCCTTTTGCTTATAACTTAAAATCTGAGTGTTTGATATTTAAAAAAATTAAAAACTCCCTCCAAGTGACTTCTGATTATTTAGGAATGTGTCCACTCTTTCTTTTCCATTCAGAAGGGCTTGCCATTGTCTTCTCCTCCCAGTTTTCTAATCTAACCTGCAGCCTTAGGATTTTCTAGTGGTCTCCACTCAAGTACAAATGAAGTCTAACCCTATATAGTTTTTCAGGACCAGTCAATGTTGACTATATTATTCTCATAAAATAAAGCACAATTCACAGATTGTTTTTCAACCTATTATATCTGATATGATTTCTAAGACATTGTGATGACTCCTCCAGACGCTTCCCCAGATGCCTCTCCAGATGTCAGTTCAAAGGAGGATAAACCAGTCCCAAGTACTTTAGGAGGGACATTAGTCAATGGCTCGGAGCAGCTAGCTGAGAGTTATTGGTTGAAGCACAGCTGCAGCAGGATTGCCCTGAAGCTTCAAGTGGGGAAAGCATGCAGCTGCAGCCAGTTACCAATGAAGAGGAGGTGCTGCCTTCTGCACCTGATCCAAGAACACGTAGGTGCAGAGAAAAGGCAAGGAGTAGCAAAGGTCAGTCTGATAACTGGTAAGGTGGCAGCCTTATCCTTTTTGATGGGCTGTTCCAAAGCTGGCTATTTAACAAGCAGACAGATGGAGGCAATGCTAGGAACAATGTGGACATTTCCTAGCTGTGCGGTTCCTGCTTGTTAAGATTCCAATCTTATTTATTTATTTATTTATTGGTTCGATTTATATGCCGCCCTTCTCTGGAGACTCAGGGCGGCTTACAATGCATTAAGCAATAGCCTTCATACTTTTTTGTATATACCTGCTTAATAGGGCTTTCGGGGCCCCCCCCCAAGCGGTGTTCTTTTTATACAAAGTCAGCTTATTGTCTCCACAATCTGGGTCCTCATTTTACCTATCTCTTCCTTGTCTCGGGTTGACCCTGTGCCTTGACTGTAGATCAGGGCTGTCAAGCTATATGCTGGTGAGTCCTGGAACATCATCAGGTGCTTTGGAGAATAGCTTGACTCCCTTTTCTTTGTGGCAACCCCTGAGATATTTGGAACACTATCATGTCTCCCCTAGTCCTTCTTTTCATTAAACTAGATATACCCAGTTCCTGCATATGTTTCAGCTTCCAGTCCCCTAATCATCTTTGTTGCTCTTCTCTGCTCTCTTTCTAGCGTCTCAACATCTTTTTTACATCATGGCAACCAAACTTGAATGCAATATTCCAGGTGTGGCCTTACCAAGGCATTATAAAGTGGTATTAACACTTCTAATATCCTAAACAAAGCCTCACAAAGGGCCACCAGATAGATACATAGATGACAGACACACAGACACAGACACAGACACAGACACAGACGGGACTGAGTTACTTAAGGATGTGGAACCTGGTCTTTGTACAACCATTCATTTAGTGACCACTCAAAGTTACAATGGCACTGAAAAAAATGACTTATGACCGTTTTTCACACTTGCAGCTGTTGTAGCATCTCCATGGTCAATGATCAAAAATTGGCTGCTTGGAACTGGCACGTATTTATGACAATTGCAGTATTCCAGGATCAGGCGATCGATCACCTTTTGACAGGTAGCAAAGTCAATGGGGAAGTCAGATTCACTTAACAACCACGTTACTAACTTAACACAACTGCACTGATTCATTTAAAAACTGCGACGAGAAAGATTGTGAAATGAAAGAAAACCCACTTAACAACTGTCTTGTTTGGCAACAGAAATAATTGGGCTCAGTTGTGGTCTTAAGTCGAGGACTATCTATATTAACTTTGCTGCTCCTTGTAAAAGTGAACCAGAGGAACAAAACGGGATAAATCTTATTCAGACAGCCAACCCCCAGCCCTTTGTTTCCGATTGAATTCAGGATTTGTTTTTATCATTAACTCTAATCAGTCTATAATGTGCTATACTACAGAAACAGCGATTACTTCTGCTTAAGGGCACGTACTTTCCACCCTGGCTCGGTTCCCTGGATCAATATTCCGCTGACCGACACGAAGGCTTCAGCCAACTGTATGCAACGCAACGCAACGCTACACAGCCCAATCATCCCCAACGGCCTCTCGGCGCAGGCCAGACGTCTCGCAAAACGTCAGTCAATTTCCCTTGGTGGCGCAGCAGACTGAAGTGCTGTTAAATAGCACCAGCTGCCTGCAATTACTGCAAGCTCAAATCTCACAGGCTCAAGGTTGACTCAGCCTTCCATCCTTCCGAGGTAGGTAAAATGAGGACCCGGATTGTGGGGGCAATTAGCTGACTTTGTATAAAAAAGAACACCGCTGGGGAGGGGGGGGGGGCAAAGCCCTACTAAGCAGGTATATACAAAAGTATGAAGGCTATTGCTTAACGCATTGTAAGCCGCCCTGAGTCTCCGGAGAGTCATATAAATATAAATCAAATCAAATCAATCAATCAATCAATTAGAGCACCGTCCCATCGCAAAAGCCACCCTGCTGAACTTGGTCCAAAAGTCCAGTCATTTGGGGGGGGGGGGGAAGAAGGGACTTCCAACTAACTACGTTCTGTTTCCACCACAGCGAGGCCAGACACTCCGAGAGTCCGCAGAGCTAGAGGAAAGCTGCAATGCGACGGGGAAAGGGGAGGAACCCACCCGCGCCGCCGAGCCGATTCAGCCACTTTCTGAAGCATGAAAAGCAAAAAAAAAAAAAAAAAAACGGCGGAAAAGAGCCCCCACCCTTCCATTCCCCCCCCCCCACCATTTCCCGCCATCCCCGAACTGCAGGAGAGAGAACACCCGGCGCTCGGATCTTTTTCGGAGCAGCAGGAAAAGGGGCGGCGAGGGGAAGCAGACTGCAGAGGCGAGTCGGTAACGTGATCCCTGCCAAACATACCAATCCTAAGGAGTCTGTCTCGTTTTCTGGCTGATCTCTACCTCTTCCCACGGGCGGGAAGCAAGGAGCCTTTAAAGCAACTGGGTTGCTCAGGGTTAACCTAAAGGTCTGCAATTAAGGCAAGAGGGAAAGCTGGTCGGGCTCTTTTTCTTTTCTTTTCTTTTCTTTTTCCCTCAGCCAGATTTGCTGCAGATGTTTCCAGAGGCCAACGCGCAAAGGAGGGGAAGAAACAAAAGGCTACCACACACTGTAACCCGGTGCGGAATTAGTGGAAAGGAGAAGGTGTTCTTTCATTTCTCCTCCTCCTCCTCCCACTTTTCTCTATCCAAGTCGAGTCTTCCAAATGAAAACATTTAGGGGAGAGCCCGTTGGGTATACCGGTAGGTAGTGGATGAGGCAGCGGGCAGAGACCGCGAGTTCGAGACTCGTCTGAGGAACAAAACCACTTGGGCGACGTTGGGCCATTCACTCACTCTTCTCGCCATGGCAGTGGCAAACCACTTCAAAAATATTGCCAATAAAACAAGCAGGGACTTATCCTGGCAGTTGCCACCACTCAACAGCGCCTCGAAGGTATCCCTTCCCCCCCCTCTAAAAAAAAAAGAGAGATTCCCAAGTCGACTGTATAGCCAGGACAGGTCCTACCTATAAGACTCGTGGGTTGCTTACAAAAACTTTTGGGGAACAAGTTTGATCTGGTGCAGACTGCCGTCTTCTCAATTAGTGACTGCAGGGCTCCTTCCTGATGCCGGAAACGTAACTCACTTACTGTACAATCAAGGAAATCCATGGTTCCGTGTCCCCCACCCACCCACTCACCCACCCCGCTCCCCTACAGGCACACGAAGTTGCGGGAAGAAAGGACTTGCGTGTACCAAGGCTTGGTCCATCTCGGAACATCCAATTGCCCTAAATCTCGATTGCCCCGTCTCACCTCGGATGGCTTTCCAGTTGTCATCAGTTTTCATAAGTTTATTTGTCCAGCATATATAAGATAACAGGTAAAAGTATAAACATAATTTGAATACATGAAAAGAGTAAGTAAAAAAAAAAAGAAAGAATATTAGGACAGGGACGGTAGGCACGCTGACCTACCTTATCCCCAGCGCTATTTGGGATTGCCTGCTGGAACCATACAGTAAAACGGACATCTCCCTCGCTCACGGAGCCTATACATTGGGTTTGCCTGCCTACCAACCTCAAAAGCCTGCTCTTTGGAGTGGGGTGGTGGGGAGAGAGAGAGAGAGAGAGACAATGCCAGCGTTCATTATTGGGGCGGAGGTAGATTTTGTTATCTAGCCTTCAAAGCCAAGATTGATGCGCGAAAGCTGGGAGGAGGCCACGCGCAAAAGGCCGGCCAAAGTTTCGAAAGTGTCAACACAGCGATCCTTCAGGAGCGCGCGCTGTTCCGAAATAGCGCACCCCACCCACGCAGGCAGGCAGGCGGGTAGGCAGCCTGTCATCTCTTCCCGTTGTTGTTGTTGTGGTTGTTGTTGTTTGGCACAGCCAAACTTTTGTGTTGATTTTTTTTTTTTTTTGCACTCAACGCGATTGTCCCAGATCCACAGATTGCCGGGACGGAGGCGCGCTTGTTTGTCTTTGCAAAGCGCAAAGACCGCGTGCGTTTTGTTTTGCTTTGTTTTGTTTACTTGCGGAAACCCTCCGCCTCGCTGCGGCAAATCTAGAAGGAGAGTAGAAAACGGAGTGAGGGGGTGGGGGTGGGGTAGAGAGAAGAAGGCTCGTCTTCCACGGGAATCGAAAGAGGTAAAATTGCCTCTCTTTCTTTTGCACACGCTTCCCCCCCCCCTTGGAATAAACCAGACCGCCTCGAGGTTACACAGACGTAACGTCCACTTCTTCCACCCACGTCCACCTCCTCGGTCCCTTTGTTGAATTTTCACCGATATATCTTTCTCTTAAATGTCTGGCGCGGCCACCACAGCCCTTTTCCCCTCACCCACCCGCGGCCGCTATTTCTGAGTGGAGACTTAGCGCACCCGCCTCTCCACCGCTTCGCTTTGCAAAAAAAAATATCGCTCACTCACTTTGCCCGTGCAATGGCTCAGAGCTCCTCTCCTCCTCTCGTAGCCCGTCCTCTTAGCCCGAGCAGCCCGACCGTAGCAGCGCTACTGCCACTGTTCATACTTCTGATCTCTGTATACTTGGTGCTCTCTTTGGGAAAGCGGGTTTTTTTTTTTTTTCGCCAGAAACAGATTTCCTACATTTCATCAGTCCACATAGACGGAACGGAAGTTTAATGCTGACTTGAGGGAGGGGAGTAAGGGAGGGGGGGTTGGATAGAAAGAAGCGGCGAAACGGCAAATACAGGTTTACCATAGGAAAGGAGAGGGATATTGAATTACAAACTCTTCGCAGAAACTTTGGACCGAGGACGAGCCAAATGCTTAGTTATGTTGCTCCCAATGCATTGGAGAGGAGCGGCGCGCGATGACTTTGAAAAGAATGCTGGATGGGATTGATTGGGAGCATTTAATGACACTTAACATGCAGTAAAATGTTTCAGCTGGGGAACGTCGGGAGCCAAGGTTAAGTTTATTCCTTTAGGCGCATTGGGCAGGATCCATATCTTCTCCAGGCCAAGGACAGTGCTCCCACTGATGGAAAACAGGGAAAAATTGCAGTTAATATATTCTGGCATAAGTTTGCCTGGGTATAGTTTTCTTCTTGCAGGGTTACAATCAGATAAGTAGACAGACAGACAGACAATGGTGGTTGGATGATTAGGTAGATAGGTAGCAAGAGGCCTGTGGAGCACATGTACCTTTCAGAATCATTTTTTCCATAGTTTTCTAAGTCCCACCATCTTGCTGATGAAATTTGGTAGAACAGTGAAACTCTAAATAGTGGAACAAGTTTTGTTTGTTGACCTATCCAATAAAATGGGCATGATAACTCCTAATGGGTTTACCATAACATCAAGTAAAAGGTGAAAAATTCTTTCCCCAAAGGGAGAAAAAAAAACCAACATTTCACTGCAGCGGCCCTTTCGTAGCAATATATCATTTACCTTGGTCTCTGTGGCTTTTGAGCACTGCAAATCAATCAATCCTTGCAGGTACAGAGACATACCCCCCCCCCAAAAAAAATTGCCTGAACTTGAAAAACTGAGATTTTTAAAGCCAAGTTATTCTATGTCCTCTATGTTGGAGGACTATCCAAATATCATATTTAAAATATAAACTTCTTTGAGTTGAGCTTCATTTCTGATACTTCAGAAGCAGGGCCCTGAGGATTTTTAGGTTACAAGATGAAAATACCTTGTTGCTGCATTATTCATGAATTCATCCATCCATCCACCCATCCAATCTACCCTTTCATTTGAAAGTGTAGCCCTGGAGTCAGCAACCCACGGCTCTGGAGCTGCATGTGGCTCTTTCAACCCTCTGCTGCGGCTCCCTGTCGCTGGTCAGTGCCACAATTTGGAGAGGAGCTTCTGGTTAATGGGGGGGGAAAGCATGGCGTCTTAGGAGGAGACTCTATGGCAAGGGGCGGGTTTTCTGGCCGGCTCCACAATTGATAGGGCTTTTGGTTAGGACAAATAGAGGAAAAGGGACACAGCACTAGGAGGAGACTCTATGGTTGGGGAACCGGACTTCTGATCGGCTCCAGAATTGAACAGGGGGGCTTCCAGTTAGGACTTTTGTGGCTCTTTTATGGTTTAAGATTGCCAACCCCTGGTCTAGCCCATAGCCTTGTTTAGCCCTTATCTAGTCCCTAACAATGTCTCACCTTCTTAAGCTTTTAGAGATCAGCATAGGCCAGCCAAGAGTGGCCCCTTCCAGTAATTCAGATGAAACAATTTCCTCACAATAATTGGGATTATAGTGGAGAGTTTCCTAGCAGGCACCTCTATTGTGTGTCATTTAGTCATTCTTATTCACACCATTTTGGTTCACCGTAAGATTGTTTCCATATATCCCGTTTATCATCTTCGACATAAGCCTATGTGTAAAGTCACAGCACTGGTTGCATTCACTTCTCAAAGATGAATTAGAGTTTTTCAACTTAGTGGCAGAGCCCTTTTAGCACTTGCTCTGTGTGCCAAGAAAAAAACACTCTGAACACAAAAACTATATTCTGGCATCTTCTAATTATGATATCCACATTTATTTAATTACCTTACTTACTGTTTGTTATTTTAGCCATAATGTTATCCAACCGTTGCTTATTAGTTCAATCATCTTGTCATTGTGAAGAAGAAAAAAACTTTTGTTAATTCAGGAGGAAGAAACAGATGTTGGAATGACTGCATGGATATAACACTTGTCTGCTTCAGTTTCCTACTAGTTATCATCCTATTCCCTGAAAAAACTACAGAATATTCCAAATCTCTCCTCATTTTCCATTATTCTTTTCCATCTGACAATAAAAGTGGCCACAGATCACGTTTAAGGGTGGGTAGCCTTTTAGAAGTTGGATCATATATTTTGGTTATTTCCCCACCCTTGGAGGAAAATAATAGGAGGGAATTTACAACCCAACTACATGTAATAGATGTATTCAATTTACAGTATGTGAGATTATGCATACAGTATCTGTTTTTATCTATTTCCAAGTAAAAATTGGTTAAATAAACCATCACCATTGAGCGGGTCAACTTGGTAACATCATCAAAAAGAGAATGAATAAAGAGCTGACAACTTTTTCCTTTTTTTACTTTATTCACTAGGATCAATTTCTGGATATTTGCATCTCTTCTCCAAATAGAAGTTGATTGCAAAAGTATAAGCTCCTTGATGCCTGATCCATGGCTCACTGATGCCATTCTTCCAGAATCCACATACAAACAAGACTGAAAACTTAAAGGCACAGAAGCATGGTTGACACCACCATGGCAGAAATTAAAGCACCTCTTCTTAGCAGATGAGTCAGATCTCAGTCATCGTCTATCCAGGGCTGTCAAACTGGCAGCCCATGGGCCGGATGCATCACGCGCAGGCCACACCCACCCCAGCTCCGTGAAGGAGAAAAACATCATGATACATCACATGATGGCAATGTGATGCCACGATTTTGACACCCATAGTCTCTGTTAATTGTAATGCTAGTAAGTTATTGTTGTAGCCTGCATTTTGTACATTTTTGAAGATGCTACCCTGAACCATGGGATCAGAAAAATCCAGAGTTTTCCAGAAAACTCATGACATCATACTTACTTCAAAAGAACTTTTGCACTTGGAATAAAGCTATGAATCTTTTCCAGACTCCAGACTTCAAATTCTACAGTTATGTGTACATGGGTTTCATTTCAGAGAATTAAAAGAAAAAAAAAAAGATTGGAAAGGCTGTGTAGCCACATACACAGCTTTCCCCTAGAAATGTTCAATAATACGTGCCTTAAACAATGTCCAAGACATATGGTTAGAAGAACAACATGCCAATTTGTCTATACTTAGTCTGTACTTTCCACCCCCATTTGAATGAAATACATTTACTGAATTTTTATTCTTGTTTTGACTGAACAGCCTTCGTATCATGCTTCAACGTGCTAATGTGATATGAAAATACAGTACAATTGGACCGTCACAGGCTAGTAAAGCTGTATATTTCCAAACCAACTTTATGGAAGAAGTCCTGGTTAGGCCTGATTGCCAAATGCACAGCTGTAACTGATATTATTAGCTACAAATAATGGAGAGATCTACACTTCAAACAAAACCTACACATTCCTGGTTTGCACTTCTGGCTGAATTTTGCTTCCAGATTTGGCTTCCTCTTCAAATAACAGCCTTTAAGAAAGGCTTGTATAGAAAAGGTAAAAATATTCCAAATGCTTCTTATAATTTTCATGTATTTGTGGGACTTTTGGACTGCCTGACCAAACATCTCTGGGAAGTGTAAAAAATCTGTAATTTGGGTTAAAAAACAGAGATAAATAACCATGCCTTGAACCATGAAAGGTTTTAAAACTAAAAATATACTTTATAAAATAACCATATAAAAACTTAAACACTCAAGAAATAAATAAAACTAATTCACCTCTGGGAGGAGAGTCACAGCAGCCCTGCCCCTGAGACTTTATGTAATAAATGTCTCCATAGACTTTCTAAAGACCAGGAAGAAGGGGGCCAATTTGAATAGGTGGAGGTGTCATTGAAAGACATGTTTTTGTGACTTTTGTAGGTGACAATCTCTAATCAAAGGAACGTGTGAAGAGCCCACCTAATAAATGTTAGTGAGTGATAGATATCATTGAGAGAGGATGGTCCCACACCTTGACCAAAAAAAGGGCTTTCAAGATGACCATCAGCACCTTAAATTATACCAGGAACCCAGCTGTCAATCAGGGCAGGTCTTAAAGATTTTGTAAAGGCATCTTGAGACTCATCTGTAACTACTTGGACTATAACATTCTGGATATAGGACATACAAATGGACTTAAAGGGCATCACCCTGTAGAATACATTGCAATATTTGGGTTGAATGATGATTAAGGTGTGAGTGGCAATAAATAAAGCCTCCGTATCCAGAAAAGGTTGCAATGGTGCTATGGAGCTGTTTAATAGCCACCTTGGCCACAGCTATCCACTTGCTCCTTGAGAGGCATTCAGAATCCAATAGGAACCCAAATTATAAGTCTTGCTCTCTTCAGGGACTGCCACGGTAGTCAGAGCTACAGATGGTATTGGCAGGCTTTCAAATCCAGAGCTACTTTCTCTCACTGGGAATGAATCTTAGCCTCTTCTGCCCCATCCAGACCAGAACAGCCTCCAGGATCCTGAGTAGCACTTCTGACACTTCACTTGTTTGGTTAGAAAGCATGAAACCTGATCTTGTGGTAATGGATGATCTCAGCAGCAGTTTCATGTAGATGTTGAATAGGAGTAAAGAGAGTATTCAGGCTATGTCACCCCACAACTGAGGGGCCTAGGGCTTAATCTCTATTTCCCTGGTTGAAACTACCTCTTTGGGAAGGAGAAAAACACAGAGAAAGCTGTCCAGTGCTCAAAGATGTCTCTGAATGATATAATGATTGATGATACTAAAGGTTGCTGAGAGATCAAGCAGAAATGGAAGGGTTACATTCCTTTCCTCAGGCTTAGCAAATATCATCTACAAGCCTACAGCGCTACCTCTATGCCGGGGTGAAATGCTCCTGGTTCGGACCGAATCGTTTGATCCGGTAGCAATGGTGGTGGGTGGTTCGGAGAACCGGTAGCAAAAATCCTTGCGCCGCCCCCCCCCCCATGCCCAGCTGAGCTGTGCGATCATCAGAGGCTTTTTTTTTTTTTACTTTTAAAAGCATTTTTTCTACAACCTCTTTGGCTGAAAAAATGAATGGGGGCAGCTATATAAATCAATTAAATTAATACAATTGATTAAATACATTAAATATATGTTCAACAATAACCCTGGACATAAAATGCGTCTGATGATTGTGCGGCTCAGCTGGGATCATCAGAGCTTTTAAAGCATTTTTTCTACAACCTCTTTG